TGCAAACCTTTGCACTTTCTGTGTGTGTATGTGTGTGTGCGTGCGTGTGCGTACGTGCTTGTGTGTGTGTGTGTGTGTGTGTGTGTGTGTGTGTGTGTGTGTGTGTGTGTGTGTGTGTATATGTTGTACTACTAGTGGGTGTGTGTGGTATATCATACTGCTCGGGGCGGTCTTTTCAACTGATTGCCACTGGTCACTCTTCCTGAGATCAGGGGAGCGTTTAATAGTACTTTTAAAGCTATTATATGGATCCTGCTGCATACATCGCTTGTGAAGCTGTTTTTTCCACTTAGTGCATACGTGTGGGCTGAAGAAATACTTCTAACTCCTATGATTCATATGTGTCTTTAGCTTCCAATGTGTCCCCTTGTTACTGTGTCCAATCATCTGGAAATCTGTTTTGTCCTACCTTGATCAATTCCTTCGATTTATTTTGAATGTCGTTATCATTCCCCTTCTCTCCGTCCTCCAGTGTCGTCAGGTTGATTTCCCTTAACCTCTCCTGTGGAATACCTCTTACTCTGGGACTAGTCTTGTTGCAAACTTTGCACTTTCTCTAGTTTCTTTACGTGCTTGGCTGGTGTGGTTCCAAACTGGTGCCGCTACTCCAATATGGCCTAACGTATACGGTGTACAGGGTCCTGAACGTTCCTTTTAAGATGTCGGAATGTGTTCTGAGGTTGCTGGCGCCCATATGCTGCAGCAGTTATTTGGTTGATGTGCGCTTAGGAGATGTGCCTGGTGTTATACTCACCCAAGATCTTTTTCCTTGAGTGAGGTTTGTAGTCTCTGACCCCTAGACTGTACTCGTCTGCGCCTTCTTTGCCTTCCCCAATCTTCATGACTTTGCACTGGTGGGATGAACTCGGAGCCAATTGCTGGACCAGTTCTCAGCCTGTCCAGATCCCTTTGTAGTTCTGCCTGGTCTTCGATCGAGTGTATTTTCTCATCAATTCACGTCTCTGCAAACAGGGACACCTCAGAGTCTATTCCTTCCGTCATGTCGTTCACAATACCAGAAACGCACTGGTCCTAGGACTGACCGCGGGACCGCTGGTCCAGGTGCCCACTTGACACCTCGCACGTACCATGACTCGCTGCTGTCTTCCTGACAAGTATTCCTGATCCATGTAGTGCCTTCCCTGTTATCCCTGCTTGGTCCTCCAGTTTTTGCACCAATCTCTTGTGTGGAACTGTGTCAAACGCCTTCTTGCAGTCCAAGAAAATGCAATCCACCCACCCCTCTCTCTCTTGTCTTACTGCTGTCACCATGTCATAGAACTCCAGTAGGTTTGTGTGTGTGTGTGTGTGTGTGTGTGCGTGTGCGTGTGCGTGTGTGTGTGTATTATCAATACTGCTTCTAAGATGACGGTTCATTAAATTATAAACTGAAGTTGCCATTTCTCGTTGGTTTTCACTTAGCTTCTATTTACTACGAGAAAAAAAGTACAAGTGTGAAACACGCGAGTATTAAATAGAGTGACTTTTAAAAATATTAAATAAAACTAGAGTCACACTGCTGAAGATTACTCGTCTTGTGGTGTAATTGCTGTCTATTTGTTGTTGCACATTTATGTAGCAATAACGTGATGGGTCATGCATCTCTAGATAACTCGAATAAGCTCACTATGGAGCAAAAGTTTGTCTTTAGGACCCATGATTTATGAGTAATGCCCAGAGTCTGGGGTAGAAGGGAACACCTAAACACTGGTGAAAGTGTTACTGTTCTTATCCTATCTAGATACTGTTTCCCATTAAGCGAAGTGTGATTTTAGAGAAGATAGAGTCAGCATTATGTGCGTTTTCATATACTTGTCGGGTCGCTGCCTCTATATCTAAATTGTTGAAGACATACAAAACGCGACAGAGAGAAACACCGAAGCGCAGGGAAAACGTCACCGTCACTAAAGTTACGACGATAATCTGATGATGATATAATAATAATAATAATAATAATAATAATAATAATAATAATAATAATATAACCATGGACCATCCCCACTGCTGAGTGACATGAAATTTGAATCTGTTCGGGAAATTTAACTTATAATATTATTAACAAGCGTCATGTGGGAATTATTCTGATATTTGTTTTAAATTGATTTTTTTTGATCTCACTACTCTCTCTGGAAAGCGGAATTTCGCATATATAAATATAAATATATATATATTATATATATATAGTATATATATATATATATATATATATTATATATATATATATATATATATAAATGTATGTATATATATTCTTGCACATCAAGCAGAATATTCAATAACCTTTTTAGGAAAATATTTTGAATATGATATATATTGTTCAACAATCTTTTTTATAAACACTGTCGTCTAGTTTTTGACCCAGTATTTAAATAGAGTTTTTTCTATATTTTTTGATACTTCTTTTTTCTATCTGGATTTTAGTCACGACAGTATCAGTCATAGTTTTGCTTTTAATATCAAATATTTCTTGACTTAGAACTGTTATCGTACAGCAGTTTATTTCAATACCAGTTCTGCCAAAGTTCTTATATATCCATCCCAAATTATGTGACACACTGCAGTCATGTAACACCCAGATACCTACGCTAGCTTTTGAGTAAATTAAGGCAACAGATGTACGAAATTAGTCCCAGCGTCTGTAACTACCACTGAGTTGAACCCAAGTCCTCGGGGCGTGAACCAAAGGAGTTACCAATGGGCTATTGCATTTACAACTTTCCTACCTCTGTATGACTTAATAATACTGACATAGCTAAAGATTGTACCAATGATACCTACCTTACTTTTGAGTAAATTGGGGCAACAGATGTACGAAATTAGTCCCAGCGTCTGTAACTACCATTGGATTAAACCCAAGTCCTCGGGTCGTGAACCAAAGGAGTTGCCAATGAGCCATTGCATTTACAACCTTCCTGCCTAAATTATCAGGCTTTGTGTGACCTAATACATTTTATTTCTCTATTTCCGCCTGCAGTGCAATATTCGGATCCAACGCAGGTACCTACTTACTGCTAGGTGGAACGGAAAACGAAAGTGTAAAAAAGGAATCGACGTCGGAACTTCTCGGATGTGAGCTGAAGGCTCAAAGTACCGAGCCACTGGTCAACTGTCATATATGCCATAGTAATGAGTCAAGAAACAGTACCACTGTCTGATCCTGTAAAACAGATATTAAGTCATAGACAACTAGCAGACTAGGTCATACAACTCTTGAAAGATTAGAGATAATAGGGTCTGATCAAAGGAAGTGGATAAATTGCAACTGGAATTCATCTACGGGGTGAACTGGTAAGCCAGTGAAGGTTACCTAACCTAACCTTCAACTGAAAGAATCCAAGGCTTTTCGTCTTGTGAATACTTGTATACATAAGCAAGGGTACATCGCATAAGAAACTGTCATAACAAGCGTACAAGATATTCAAAAAATTTGATAAGATTAGGTGGTTCACTACCCCGCAGTCGAATGATCCAGGTTAATTTCTGGGTGGATGGAGACGCAAGTCTCTACATATAAGATAAGGAAAATAGGTGTTAGCCCCTGATGAGATATTGTTATATTTTATACATAAATCTGGACCTTCAAATCAGCTGGGTTAGAATAACATCCTGTAAATTCAGAAGTGTTTAAAAATGAGAAAGCAGACAAAAGATAATACCGGATTACAAAAAGAAAACAAAACATGAATCTAATAATATAAACTCACGACCAGTTAACTTGTGAGATACAGAATTTAAACACGTGTTGAATAAAGTTCAATTAAGTTTCCCGCACGACATCCCAAAAATGTTTAATCTGTAAACTGGAAGGAAAGTCAGGAATAAAATCGAAGGTGTTCCAGAGAATGCGTAATTAATTGAAAGACAGAAGATAGGGAGAGAGAGCAACTTCAGGTATACACACATACAGTTACATAGATTATCATACATAGCAGCATATGTGTAGAGAACTTAGGATAACCCAAAAAAGTCAGACAAATATTAAATAAAATTGACAGATGGCCATCAACATCCTCCAATAATAAATAGAATATTTCTCTATGAAGAATATATCAGCTCTGAAAATACAGAAACTTTTAGCAGAGCGAAAGTTTATAAGACAAATTTTCTCTCAAAGGTGAGCATTTGCAATTCATGACTTGAAAAATAGTTTTTCCTTGGAGCTAAACATTGACCATTAGAGTTAGTCAGTTATAAGCGTCTTGGTATGAAGCTATTTGTCGGCATTTTGCCTTAAGTCAATAGGCAAATTTGGTTAATAGGATCAATTTAGAGTAAGTGCCGGGGTCGTTACTACTGCTAATTTATATGTAAATGACCTTTTAGAAGGAATAGAGTCATATGCGTCTCTATTTAACTAAGATGCCAAGTTAAAGAGAGGGTACAGGAGATGGCAGAGACAAGCCGCAGGAGGACCTAGACAGATTGCGGGAACAGTCAGTTAAGTGAATAATGAGTTGCTTCAGAATAAAGATTAGATCATGCAGGTCAAGGAAAAGGAGAGAACGGCTTACAGAGTAGGTAGGAAGAAATGTTACTTTGCTCTCCGTCAGTCTCACACTGATGGGGAATTCGAATGAGATGATATGGAAGAGATGAAATCACACTCCCTAAAACCCTTCACATGTAAATATTATTAGATCATAGTCGGAAGAATTCACTAATGCAAATTGATTTAACTTAAAAGACAGGACCAGAAGCTTAGACTCGATCCTCGTGAAACACAAGTCGGCAAGTGGAAAATCAGATACAAATGCAGCATAACGTGATCCATTATTGAATCTACGTCTCCTACACAGTGGGCTTTATCAAGTCACAATCTATCTGTGATTCGATAAAGTCGACAGTGTGGGCGAAGTTGTCAATGAAGAATCACGATACGCTGCATTTGCGTCTCTTTCATTATCCTGTCGTTATTTTACATCATTTCCTCCCCATCGAACTGATGAGTACAAACTTCAACTCAAACTCAAAAAACGTCCCCGAAGAAATATATTACTCACGTGACAGAAACCGTCGTGGAATACAGGAGACAAGGCAAGGCGAGGACCATTGAAGATGTCCAGATTACTAGAATAAACACTCGTGCCACTGTTTTGGACATTCGTGGTTCCAGAGGCTTGACTATTGCTATATATCTGAGGGGGAGAGAGAGTAATGATTGAGGATTAGAGTTGGGAAACAAGAGAGGAACAGGTGAGGAACAGAGGGAGAGAAAGGGAGGAATACCTGAGTGATTGATTTAGAGGAGGAGAATAATTAACCAGGGAGAGTCAGAAAATTTAATAAGTCGGGGACAGAGTGAGAGAAAAGGAATAGTAAACGAAAATGAGAGTATGGGAAAGAGAGATTACTGAGAGTGAAGAAGAGAGACGAGAAATGCAATAAGGGAGAGAGAGAAAAATATTTATGAGTGAAAGAGTGAGAGAAAGAAATGTAAATGGGTAATAAGTACGATCACTTTAAAATACAAATCTACATCACTGACAGTCGTTGCTGTAAAAAAAAAACTAAGTCGAGTAAGCTATTAGAAAAATTTGAATAAAACACCACGAAAGCAAAAACCCGCTGGTCTTCACGCAAATAATCTTCCAATAACAAAAATCTTATACCATCAATCTGAATGATTGCTCTGAGAGCTTAATGATCGCTCCGAGAGCTGAATGATCGCTCTGAGAGCTTAATGATCGCTCCGAGAGCTGAATGATCGCTCTGAGAGCTTAATGATCGCTCCGAGAGCTGAATGATCGCTCTGAGAGCTGAATGATCGCTCTGAGAGCTGAAAGATCGCTCTGAGAGCTTAATGATCGCTCCGAGAGCTGAATGATCGCTCTGAGAGCTGAATGATCGCTCTGAGAGCTTAATGATTGCTCTGAGAGCTGAATGATCGCTCTGAGAGCTTAATGATCGCTCTGAGAGCTTAATGATCGCTCCGAGAGCTGAATGATCGCTCTGAGAGCTGAATGATCGCTCTGAGAGCTGAATGATCGCTCTGAGAGCTTAATGATCGCTCTGAGAGCTTAATGATCGCTCCGAGAGCTGAATGATCGCTCTCTGAGAGCTGAATGATCGCTCTGAGAGCTGAATGATCGCTCTGAGAGCTGAATGATCGCTCTGAGAGCTGAATGATCGCTCTGAGAGCTTAATGATCGCTCGAGAGCTGAATGATCGCTCTGAGAGCTGAATGATCGCTCCGAGAGCTGAATGATCGCTCTGAGAGCTTAATGATCGCTCCGAGAGCTGAATGATCGCTCTGAGAGCTGAATGATCGCTCTGAGAGCTGAATGATCGCTCTGAGAGCTGAATGATCGCTCTGAGAGCTGAATGATCGCTCTGAGAGCTGAATGATCGCTCTGAGAGCTGAATGATCGCTCCGAGAGCTGAATGATCGCTCCGAGAGCTGAATGATCGCTCTGAGAGCTGAATAATCGCTCTGAGAGCTTAATGATCGCTCCGAGAGCTGAATGATCGCTCTGAGAGCTGAATAATCGCTCTGAGAGCTGAATAATCGCTCTGAGAGCTGAATGATCGCTCCGAGAGCTGAATGATCGCTCTGAGAGCTGAATGATCGCTCCGAGAGCTGAATGATCGCTCCGAGAGCTGAATGATCGCTCTGAGAGCTGAATAATCGCTCTGAGAGCTTAATGATCGCTCCGAGAGCTGAATGATCGCTCTGAGAGCTGAATGATCGCTCTGAGAGCTGAATGATCGCTCTGAGAGCTGAATAATCGCTCTGAGAGCTTAATGATCGCTCTGAGAGCTGAATAATCGCTCTGAGAGCTTAATGATCGCTCTGAGAGCTGAATAATCGCTCTGAGAGCTTAATGATCGCTCTGAGAGCTGAATGATTGCTCTAGACCTTTTGAGATGCAATCAACACATCCTCAGGAGTATTGCAAGCTCCTGATGTGTTGATTGCAACATGAAAGCCCTAGAGCTATCATTCAGCTTCCCCTGTGGTTGTTTTGTATATATCATCATAATTGCGGCTATCCAGGACTCGATCCTGCGTTCCCATGCCCAGACCTGTGAGAATTGAACAAAATATGCATCACTATCCACTGGACCAACAACTCTTAAACGCCAGGTGCTCAGCAGTACGCTGCATGTTTTCTCTGGTGCAAAGACATATGTGGTAGTGGAGCCTCAGAGAATAATTTTAACCTCATCCTGATTGAGGGTACCAACCTTGCACCAGAGAAAACACGCTCAGTACGGAGCGCCTGGTGTTTAAGGATTGTTTGTCCAGTTAATAGAGTGATGTATCCTTTGTTCAGTTCTCACAGGGCTGGGCATGGGAACGCAGGATCGAGTCCTGGCCAGCCGTAGTTCAGTTAATGACTCAAAATCACTTATTTCGTGATTTCATTAATATATATATATATTATATATATATATATATATATATATTATATATTATTATATATATTATATGATAAGAAAGAGATGATTGTGGATGTTATGAATGAGAAGAAGCTGGATGTCCTGGCTTTAAGTGAAACAAAGCTGAAGGGGGTGGGAGAGTTTCAGTGTGGAGAGGAATAAATGGGATTAGGTCAGGGGTTTCAAATAGAGTTAGAGCTAAAGAAGGAGTAGCAATAATGTTGAAGGATAAGCTATGGCAGGAAAAGAGGGACTATAAATGTATTAATTCAAGGATTATGTGGAGTAAAATAAAGATTGGATGTGAAAAGTGGGTTATAATAAGCGTGTATGCACCTGGAGAAGAGAGAAGTGCAGAGGAGAGAGAGAGATTTTGGGAAATGTTGAGTGAATGCGTGGGGAGTTTTGAATCAAGTGTGAGAGTAATGGTGGTTGGGGGATTTCAATGCTAAAGTGGGTAAAAATGTTATGGAGGGAGTAGTAGGTAAATTTGGGGTGCCTGGGGTAAATGTAAATGGGGAGCCTTTAATTGAGCTATGAGTAGAAAGAGATTTGGTAATAAGTAATACATATTTTATGAAAAAGAGGATAAATAAATATAAAAGGTATGATGTAGCACGTAATGAAAGTAGTTTGTTAGATTATGTATTGGTGGATAAAAGGTTGATGGGTAGGCTTCAGGATGTACATGTTTATAGAGGGGCAACTGATATATCGGATCATTATTTAGTTGTAGCTACAGTTAGAGTAAGAGGTAGATGGAAAAAGAGGAAGGTGGCAACAACAAGTAAGAGGGAGGTGAAAGTGTATAAACTAAGGGAGGAGGAAGTTCGGGTGAGATATAAGCGACTATTGGCAGAAAGGTGGGCTAGTGCAAAGATGAGTAGTGGGGGGGGGTGTTGAAGAGGGTTGGAATAGTTTTAAAAATGCAGTATTAGAATGTGGGGCAGAAGTTTGTGGTTATAGGAGGGTGGGAGCAGGAGGAAAGAGGAGTGATTGGTGGAATGATGAAGTAAAGGTTGTGATAAAAGAGAAAAAGTTAGCTTATGAGAGGTTTTTACAAAGCAGAAGTGTTATAAGAAGAGCAGAGTATATGGAGAGTAAAAGAAAGGTAAAGAGAGTGATGAGAGAGAGCAAAAGGAGAGCAGATGATAGAGTGGGAGAGGCACTGTCAAGAAATTTTAATGAAAATGAGAAAAAATTTTGGAGTGAGTTAAACTAGTTAAGAAAGCCTGGGGAAAGTATGGATTTGTCAGTTAAAAACAGAGTAGGGGAGTTAGTAGATGGGGAGAGGGAGGTATTAGGTAGATGGCGAGAATATTTTGAGGAACTTTTAAATGTTAAGGAAGAAACAGAGGCAGTAATTTCATGCACTGGTCAGGGAGGTATATCATCTTTTAGGAGTGAAGAAGAGCAGAATGTAAGTGTGGGGGAGGTACGTGAGGCATTACGTAAAATGAAAGGGGGAAAAGCAGCTGGAAACTGATGGATCATGAAGAAATGTTAAAGCAGGGGGAGGGATAATTAGTTTTGGGAAAGTGGTGGTACTTTAGTTTTAATAAATGTATGAAAGAGGGGAAGGTACTAGGATTGGCGGGAGCATGTATAGTCCTTTATATAAAGGGAAGGGGACAAAAGAGACTAAAATTATAGAGGAATAAGTTCGGAGTAACCAGGAAAGTGTACGGTAGGGTTATAATTAAATTAGAGGTAAAACAGAATTGGAATTGCGGATTGAGCAAGGAGTTTCAGAGTGGGTAGGGGATTGTGATCAAGTGTTACATTGAAATATATGTAAACAGTATTTAGATAAAGGAAGGGATTTTTATTGCATTTAGGGGAATTTAGAAAAGGATAGATAGAGTGGATAGAGGAGCATTGGGCAGATGTTGCAAGTTGAATAGGTGGTAAGTTATTAAATGCTGTAAACAGTTTTTATTGGATAGTGAGGCCAGGTTAGGTGTGTGAAGAGAGGGAGCTACTTCCCGGTAAAAGTGGGTCTTAGACAGGGATTGTAAGGTCACATGGTTTTTAAAAATATTTATAGAGGGTTGTAAAAGGAAGTAAATGCTAGGTGTTCGGGAGAGGGTGGGAAAAATTTGGGAATCAAATAAAAATGGAATTGAACAGTTACTTTTGCTGAGATACGTGCTTATGGGAGATTCTAAGAAAAATTGCAAAGGTTAGTGGTGGTTTTTGGAATGTGTGTAAAGGTAGAAGTTGAAAGTGAACTAGAAAAGAGTAAGGGTGATGAGGGTGTCAAATGTTTTAGATAAAGAAAATTGGATCAATTGGGGAGGAGGAGTATGGAAGAAGGAAGGGGTTTTCAAATACTTGGGAGTGAGTGTCGGCGGATGGATTTATGAGGTGAGGTTAATCATAGAATTGATGAGGGAAAAAAGTGAGGTGCGTGAGTTATGTGGAGCCAAAAAAACGTTATTATGGAGCAAAAAAAAGAATGATGAAAGTATAGTAACACCAACACTTTATTGGGTGTGAAGCTTGGGTGGTAAATGCAGAGCGAGGAGCGTTGGAGGCAGTGGAGATTTTTCCTGTTTAAGGCAATGTGCGGTGTAAATATTATGCAGAAAATTCGGGAGTCTGGAAATTAGGAAAATTT